GATTCCCTCCCGTTGGTTTTTGTGTGAACACTAAATTTGAAACCAATACATCCCTTATTGGGAGTTATATATGTAAACAACCCTAGTTACTATTTGTTTAACTTTAGTCTTAGATTACCTGGCTTTTATTCTGCCAGGAAATTCGGTGATGTTTGTTGCTAGATAATAAAATTTTTATTTGGGAATTTCATGAGTTCATCTGCATGGAAACTGAAATCCAAATAAAACTTAATGAAACCAGTGTCTTGTGACAGTTCATTGTCCCACTCATTTTTACTGGCTGCACAAGGCAGAAATGTTGTTAAAACATGTCTAACAGTGCTAAACAAGGGAAATCTTAACTTGCAGAACCACTTGGCCACGTTTTTGTGGGTATGGAAGTGCTCGAGGGATTTTCAAGCACGTTTAAGCAGCTGCCTGCCGAAGTCTAGCCAGCATCAGGCTTTATCCTGCATTTGAACACCCTGTTGGATTAAGAGTGCTGCTTCTGTGTGGCTGCCTGTTTCTCTAGAAATGGGGTCTGATGTAGACTTTCTTGTTGTTGTTTAAATACAAGAACTTCAAGAGGGAAAGAAAACTTCCTGCTCTCGAGAAAAGCCTGAGTTGAGGTTTCTTAGCTGCGAAGCATCTGGTTCTGGTTCAAATAAAGAAACTGTCCCTGCACCTGTCTGAAAATGAGAACTGCCTGGAAATGCTAGTGGTAGAAATCTGTCAGTGCCTGTACTCAGGTCTTTGTGCTCAGTGAACAGGGATAAAGAATTCCTGGAGCCTCAGCCATTGCTTGGGCTGATGCTGGGAGCCAAAGGTTCTGCTGCCTTTTAGACAAAATTGTGAAATGCTGTCCTTTAGCTCATTAAAGCCAGAGCTTATTGATGCCAGAGATTATTTTTAGATAGTAAGTTTAGGCCTTACAACGTGCTTTAATTTAAAACTATATGTCACGTTGGCTAATTTAGTAATGTGCTTACTATTTCTGTTCATCCAACTTCCATTACTGCTAAATGTTTGTCAGAAGAATTTGATAGGTTCCTCTGAGCTGCCCATTACACCTGAGGCCAAAACATTTTGTAAGATTTGTTTCAACAGAGCAAGGCAGAAGGGTAGTAGAAATGCTCAAAACCTTTATGCTTTCCTGTATTTTTGAAATGAATTTGCTGTGTGTTAATATCTGCAGGTTTTAGGTAGGAAAGGGAATTCAGTGCTGAGTACTGACCTGCAGTATTTTGGAAAAGGATGTCCTCAGAGCTTTTTCAAAAGTTTAGCTGCACAATCCCTTCATAAGCATGAGATATTAAATAAAACATGAAATGCTGGCTCATTTACAATCCTCCTCAGTGTTTTCCGTTTAACAGTGGGGTGAGGGAGCACCCACTGTGCTCCCCTGGGAGCAGAGGCAGTGGGTGATGTTAACCACGCCCTTCCCAGACCGTGGCCATCATGTGAACAAAGACATTAAAAGAAATAAGATAACTTCATTTTGGCTTTTCCAAAATGGCCGTGGACCTCCTTCAGTTAACCACATGTCCCTGGAGCCTGTGTTTGGCTTCACAGCAGCCACCACTTGATCTCAAAGGTCAGAACTTGGGTTGTCAGTGTTGCTACCTCGAAACCCCTAATGGCCCTTTTAACTTTCATCAAGCCTAGAGTTGTATTTTACACCGATACTGGGGGTTTGTTTGTTTGTTTTTGTGCTTCCAAACATATATTTTTGTCCTCTAAAACTAAGCTGACCATAAAAGTGATGCTCTGGTCACTGTGCTGGCTGAGGGTTTTGCTCAGGACTTTGGCTGTGCTCAGGGGCAGGACGTGGTCTTGGGTGTTTCCCAGGTCTCCATGGAGAGCTGTCACCTGGGTATGAAGGGGGTTGACTTGCCTGGGATTTCTTCTCTGGTGGTCACAGTCACCGCCCACGGGGTCCAGCGATGACACTTGGGAGTTGCAGCTTCCACGTCTGTCAGTTGAGGTGGTGGCCTTGATGTGCTGGGGGTGAAGGAGGGAAGCCCCCACACGCCAAGAAGTTATGAGTTATTATACCCATGGTCAGTGTCACGGGCCGTGCCTCGAGCCTCCAACCTCTCCCTGGGCCTGAGCAGAGTTTCTGTGTCTGGCCTGGTTCCCGCCTTTCAAGATTGGCAGAGGGGAGGATGGGCCATCAGAGGTGTAAACTCGGCTCTTTCTGCCTTTTCAGGGCTTGACACCTTCAGCACTGGAGGGAGGGATGGGCCCAACTGCCCATCAGAGGTCAAAAGCCTGCAAAAGTCTCCTAGAATGCATAAATCATTACCCGTTTCAGTCTCTGACAGCCTCTTACTGCTGCAAGGCCTGGCCAGAGAGGAAGGGGCAGGCTCTGCTCTCCTAAAACCCTGTGGCTGGACATACTGCCAGACAGATGTCCTGAATGTTCCTTAAATGTGCTGCAGCATCCAGATCAGGTCATGGAGTGAGTCCCTGCAAACACAACCAGTCCTGATGTCTGAATTTGAGGGGAGGGGAATTACCCGGTTCAACAAAACAGTCATGGATTACTTTTTTAAGGCTGGCTTCAGCTCCAGGATAATGTGTAATGCTTGCCCAGCTCTTTGAGAATGTAGTGTTAGATACACATGGACTAATCCTCACAGGAATGTGTCCTGTGCTGGCTCTGCCTCTCCCGAAGCGGCTGCTGGCTCACTCTGCTCCTGGGCCCTGCCTTTTGTACTCATTAGGAAAAATAATGGTTCTGGCATGGTGGTTTCATTTCTCTCTGATTTATTAATGCTGCGAGCATTGCCTGAGAAGGGGTGTTGCCTTACAGGAGCATTAAAACTTCTCAAGAAAAGTGATCCTGTGGTGTGTCACTGCTCTGAAATGGCTCAGCAAAGGGTCTGGCAAGGGTGGGAGGAGTGGGAGGGTGGGCCTGGGGTCCACACCATCAGGCAGGAGTGATGTGGATCAGATCAGCCACAGCCAGTGAACGTGCCCTTCCTTCCTTCCTTCAGGATCCCACGGGGTAAAGCTGAGGCTTCTTAAAAGGTCATCAGGGGTTGGTGGAGAGCGTGTGCTCTGCCATGACGGGGTTGCAAGTCCAGCCTCGGGGGACTTGAGGCAATTCTAGGAGTGTAAAATGAGTTCTAAAGGCAGCAAGAAGTACTGTTTTTATAGGTGCTTAAGCTGTTTTGAAACTGGCATCTGGACTGATCGTGAACACTGTAGGCTGCTCAGTAAATAAGCAACACAGTCCTAGAATAGGCTGGGAAATAGCTGTGATTCTTTTTAAGGAATTCTTTGGAGGAGAACAAGTGATCCACATCACTATTACGGATCCCTTTCTCCAGGAAATATGTAGAAGCAGTCATGGGGAGGAAAGCTGTGTCTGGGAGGGATCCTTTGCTTGAAGAAACCCACCCTATTTCATCTTTTTCAAGAGCTGTTGGAGCTCTCTCAGCACTGATATTGAATTCCAAGGACCCCGACATCCGGGGATTCTGAATATCTTTGTGTTGTGCTAACTGGGAATTGTTCTCTACCCTCTCATCCAGTGGAGCTGCAGAAAAAAACTGGTTTATGTGCCTTAAAAGAGAAATTTGGGGACAGAATGTGGGTTTTGTGCCTTAACCTGTTTTTTTTCTGAGGGGTACAGTGGAAAGGGGGTGTTCAGTATTTTTAGGAGAGCGATCGCACACGGTTGTGTGCTGTCAAAACACATCAGATGGGGTTCACTGCTGTGCCTGCTCCTTTTGTGCATCTTTGCACAAAGTCACAGAGCAACTGTATCTGACAAAGTAAGTTTAATTACTTACAGTTAATTGCCAGATTGTAAGTTGTAACTTTGCCAGTTACAACTTTTGTGTAGAAGCTGCTCAAATGGCAGTCCAGTGTGTTAAATCTGTTCCTTCTCCAGCTCTGAGCTCTAAATCAAGAGGATTGGAAAGCTGAGCATCCCTTTCACCAGGAGGGCACAGACAAACACTGCTGTGTGCAGCATTTCCCTTATAACTTGGCATTTTGAAACCAAGATTTGAGACTCTTAAAATCGCGAAAAGTAAAAATTTCAAGTCATTTATTTTTGTTAAGGGTGGTGGGTTTGGCTTTTCTTTCCTTTGCATCCTGGTCTGGTTCTTCGACCTGGGAGGGCTGGAGCAAGAGACAAGGGAACTGACTCTTGGAGTTGCTGTGCCTTGTCGATCTCATGTGGGGTTTTGTCCTGCCTGAAGCCTGTTCTCCGTTCATGCATCAGTGCTGCAAATGCTTTTACAACCACTTCAGTTATCACTTGCTCCTTTCCCTCTGGTGCCTTGTTAAAAAGGCTGAAGACATTGCAGCCAGTGTCCTGTACGTGGTTAGTGGATCATGGCAGTGCTATGGAGAAAAGGTGTCCTGGGATTTCTGTATTTGACTGGTCTCTGCCGGGCTGGAAAGCCAGCCCTTGAGGAACTGTGCCACGTGGGAACGAGGGGAGTGAAACTAAGTCTCATTTCACCAGCATAGGTTAAACAAAATGAACATTTTAAAGAGTTGAAATCCTCTGCATATGTACTCACTGGAGATGGCAGGTTTGTGCAAGGGGACTTTCTAAATGCTCTTCTAGCAGTGCTTCCTTTTTAAGCTGTTTGTTCAGTTTTGTTTTAACAAAATGTTGGTCCTGCACAGACATTTGAAGAGCTCCATGCAACATAAGGTACACTTGGCACATTGTTGGCTTATTTAATGCAGCACCCTGAGCTCTTTTTGGAAGGATTTGTGGCCATGTGCACACCATACTGTGCTCACAGGGAGCGGGATGGGCATGGATGCAGGGCTGGAGGGGTGGGTTGGGCTGAGCAGCGAGCTGGGCTTATCCTGTGGGCAACGCGGCTTCAAGTTATTTCTCGAATGAACGTTGCCATGTTTTGCTTCATCTCTCCTGAAAATTCGTTTTGCTGGGGAAAAACAGCTTTATCAAGGCCAAGATCCTCCCGGTGCTTGGAGGTGGGATCAGCCCCTGTCCTCCCTCGTTCCTCACGTGCCTCCTGTCCTTGCAGGCGTGAATGACAGAGGAGGTGCCCCCGACTGCACTGACGGACGTGAACCTGCGCCTGCTGTGCCACGATGACATAGACACAGTGAAACAGCTCTGTGGAGACTGGTTCCCAATAGAGTACGTCACTGGCTCGGGGGGGATCTGAAACAAAGGCTGGGAGCCTGCACTGGTCCACTTTGGAGCTGACTCCAAAGGCTCTGCAGCCATCTGGGCTGTTGCCAGGACAGCAGCAGGTTCGGAATATTCTGTGCACTGTGCTGGTGTTGCTGTAACAGCCCTTTGCTGCCCTGGCCTGAAGGCATCAGCAAGTTCCTGTGTGCAGATTGTGGCAGGAAAATGGGCTTTGGGAAAGACTGTGAATGAGGTGGGGAAAGGGGCACTCCTCCAGGCAAAAGGACAGCATCCCTGTGAAAGGAAGTTGTGTCCTGGAGCATGTGCTGAGGAAACGCCCTCAGAGCCAAACCAAACCAGCAGGGAGCAGCTGTTCCTGAGGGATTGTCCTTCTGAATGTCCCAGGGGAAATGAGCAGTACTTCCTTGTGTCCTCAGCATCACTGTTGCTCCCAAAGGTCTGGCTTAAAGCTGATCTCAGCCTGTCCCAGGTCAGTTCCCCAGGCCCCCATTTGGTAAATGCCCATGACTGCAAAAGCACAGGAATGAGGAACTTTTCTGGGGGACAGTGACAGATTTCTGGCCTAAAGCATCCAAGGAAACCACAGCTGTAGGCTTCAAGGGTTTTTTTTTTCTTTAGCTTTGTTGAGAAGGCTTATAGAAGATTTAAGCAGATTATAAATAAGATTGTATAAAATATAACAAATCAGCAAAAGCATTCATAATATTTTGAGTTTGTAGATTTCTTTTAAATGCAAGGCTGAACTCTCATTTTGAAATAAATGAGTACCCCAGTCTCCCTTTTGTGTCTGCAGAAGGAGGAGGAGAGTTGGAGGCTGGTGGTGTGATTTTTTTTTTTGTTGTTCCAATATGCAGTATTTTTTTTACACATGTATCAAATTAATGAGATCCTTACGCTTTTAGATGAGGGCAGATGGATCTTGCATTTAAAAATAACTTGCTAAAGATGGAATTGAAAGCTCTGGGCAGTGAATGTAAACCAAAAATGTGGCTCTCTTAGCAAGGCAAGGAGGCCATTATACGATGCCATTGTACCAAAGGGGGGGCAACAGCTGTTTCCAGTTGAGCATCTCGGCACGTGGGTTTTGCATCCTGAAACATTCCTGGTTTTCCCTTCCTTCCCAGGTACCCTGACTCATGGTACCGAGATATCACTTCCAACAAGAAGTTCTTTTCCCTCGCAGCCACCTACAGAGGCTCCATCGTGGGCATGATAGTGGCAGAGATCAAGAGCAGAACGAAGGTGCACAAGGAGGTACGTCCCTGCACTGAGCTCCAGTGACATAATCCACCTCTTGCCGTGGTTAACGGGGGTGGGACCTCCTTGGGGTATTTTTTTCCCCCTTCTATTCAGACACTTGACCCTGAGTTAATTTAGGGGATGAAGCGTGTGCTGATTCCAGCTAACGGAGCCTGGGTGGGGGGACGTGTCTGAACACATGAGCCTGGTGCCACAGAGTCTCTTCCTGCTGCAGCCCATGGCCTGATGGGAAGCTGAGGGATCAGGTCATGCAGGTGTAATCCCAAATACCTGTGCAGGAGGCATTTAACTGTTGCCTGGCTGTGTTCAGTGTCCCTGGTGACTGCAGGATGTGTAGCTGTGGGAGAAGAAACCTCTACCTTTTTTACTTAAGAGCTTTCTCAGCTGTACTGGGAGAGTCACTCTGGTGACTTCCTGCAGAAACCCCTCCATTTTCACAGTCCCTATCTCGAACCCAGAGGGGAGGTAACCAACCTGCAAAGAGCTTGAGCTTCAGAGATAATACAGCTTGGAGGTCAGGAGAGACAACACAGTACAGCAGAGAGGGAGAGAAGTGATGGTCACTGAGCACAGTGTGGGAGAAGACCACTAAAAAAAAGCAGGGGCAGTGCAGAGGGTTCATAACCCCTGAAAGGCCATCAGTGTTGTGGTTAAACAAAAATCCCAACATTCACAGGAGCTGAGAGCACTGAGCAGCATGGGTCTCTTCACTTCAGCTATCTGGCTTCACCTCAAAGCTCATCAAAGTCAGAAGCTGCACTTTCAGCAACTCTAACAAAAGGCTCTTGTCCCAGCCAAGCTGGAAGCCAAGGGCTTATTCAGCCACTGCTCCAGCAGTTGGGCTTGTGGAACGTGCTCCTTGTCCTCTGCAGCAGTGCAGGGATGTCCAGCTCAGGTGGAGCTTGCAGGCCAAGAGGACCTGCTGGGTTGATTTAGACACTGATGGGTGACTCCAGAACTGGCACTTTGAATCCTTCCTGGTAAAGAAAGCCAGTATGTTCTGTCCCTAAGGCCACAGGTAATGTCTATAGTCAGGAAACACCATGATTTGTGTTCTGTGTCTGGGAAGATGATATGAAAGTAGGAATAGCCCCAAAGGAACCGTGCTTGGATTTTTGAACTTCCTTTCCAAAAACTTCAGCTAAGACTGTTCAGTGAAGAGAAGATTCCTGCTTTAGCCTTGTTTTCAGGTGTTCCAGTACAGGATTTCTGCTTTCTCCTGTGCCTCCCCGGGTACCCTACTAAATAACTTGTCTTATCTCTACTCAGGATGGAGACATCCTAGCTTCCAATTTTCCTGTGGACACTCAAGTTGCTTACATCTTGAGTCTTGGAGTGGTGAAGGAGTTCAGAAAACATGGAATAGGTAAGATGCTGCCCAGTGACAACTGTTGCTCTCATTTGCCAGTGGTGTGACTGAAGGAGCTCCAGCATATCCCTGTAGGAAAGGCTTACCCCTGACTGATACCAGCAGGTGGGAAGGTGATGCACCTACATCTCCTGCCTGGTGTCAGTGCAGCTGCACTGAGAGCTTTTTACTGGTGTGGACACAACACAATATGCAAATATTTCCAAAGAGCACAGGGCTTTGTCCATCTTGTTCCCAGGGGCCAGCTGAGCACACCAAAAACTCACAGCCCTGCTGCTGAGACTGACTATAAGTGTGAGAACCTCACCCTGGAGCAGGGTTTGAAATGATTTTCTCTTATGGGTATCAGCAGCCTGATCCCTGAGGCAGAAAATAGAGCTGCTTTTAAGCTTTCAGCTTCAACACATAGAACAAACAGTTAGAAAATGACAAAGGGAACTGGAAAAAGAGTGTAACTTGGACCTGGTTAGATCTCAAATGCCTGGACAAGCCAGCTCTGAATGTCTGCTGCCACATGCAGCGTTCCTGCAGCCATTTGGAATCCTGCAGTTCAGAAGGGCTTTACCTCTGCCTAGAGCAGGGTGTGCTCTGTCACCAAATGCTGCCCTTCTGGGGTGATTTCAGGCAGGATCTGTATCTTTCATCTGCAAAAGGGAACAGGCCAGGTTTGGCAGCGTGGTCCTGGGTTGCACACCTGGGATCTCTTCAGTGGATGCAGGTATAACTCATTATCTCCAACTCCTCCCTTCTCCCCCAGCCATGTTTGGAAAGGGACAAACTGATAGGATGCACAAAGAAATGACCAGAGAGTCCTCAGAGAGAGCACTGTGTTTAAACCTTGCATTGAAATGCCACAGAATGATGTTCAGAGAAGGTGGTAAAGGGGTATTCTGTAAAATTGTGGTGGTTTTGAGTCTCCTTTCAGTTTCCAAGTCCTCATTTTTTTTCCCAGCTCCATCTTGCTGGAATTTTCTCCCATCAGAGTCAGTATTTCCTGCATCCATTTCATCTACACAGCATGTTACCGTCCTCTCTCAAAACCTTTGAACTTGTCCCTGTAGCAACACAGCCTAAAGAAGCTGCTGCTGCTTTTTCTGAGACCTTTCTTTTGAGAGTTTTTCTGCTGGTGTTTGAAGCTGAAGCTTTTCATGCAGGAGGCTCTTCACCCCAGGCATGCTGCTGAGCACTAAAGCTCTGATTTTTCCCTGGAAGACAGTAAAAGGTTTTGGTTTCTAGTTCTCTGCTATTCTTAAACCAGAGGACAGCTGGATTTCTGTGAGGTTTCAAGACTGGAATATGTCATAACTAAACTGAACTGCTGTATTGTTGATGTCTCTCAGTATATTTTGGGTTTGCAGATCCTGGGGATTGTGAAAGAGCAGCAGCCACCTCACCTGTGTGTATTAGTCAGGCTGATCCTTTAGCCTGGTGTTACCACACCTGATGGGAGAAGTTCCCATGCAGGTTCTGCTGGGTCCACTGTGCCGTGTTGAGGTGGTGTGGATGAACCTCCAGGTCTTGTCTCTTGGGGCTGGAGTATCCTCTGTGCCCTCCTCTGGTTTTTCCTGCTGGCTGCACCAAATCCAGGTTGAGTGAGACTGTGCCTCTGCTCTCTTCCTTAGAAGGGATCTTCAAAACCCACCAGTTGTTAGATTTTGAGTTCAGCAGACACAGGGCAATAACCTGCTTGTGAAGCTCTGTTTTGACACTCTGCTGTTTTAAATGGCTCTGAAATAAATAAATGTATGGGGTGGAAGTGATACCATTGAAAATGACTCAGTGACCTTCCCCACAGCTGGGAGCTGCTCCACTGGGGATGGGTGACATTGTCCCATGTCTGGCTCATCCCTGTGGTTATTGAGTCAGAGATCTGTGTCTTTAAAATCTCTGTTTTTTGAAGCCATGCTTATAGGTGAGATGAGATTCATATTAAAACCACCTAGCATGATCCTCTGAGAACTGTGTGGGATTTGGGGCCCTCAGGGATGTGCAGCAATCCCTGCTCAGACACTGGTGCAGGAGGACTCAGCTGAGCCCCACGAGCCCTCATGCTGAGGAAGGCTCCACACTGTGATCCTGCTGCTCTTCCTTTCCACAGGTTCACTCTTGCTGGAGAGTTTGAAGGACCACATCTCCACCACTGCCCAGGACCACTGCAAAGCCATCTACCTGCACGTCCTCACCACCAACAACACAGCAATAAACTTCTATGAAAACAGAGACTTTAAACAGCACCACTATCTCCCCTATTACTATTCCATCAGAGGGGTCCTCAAAGATGGCTTCACCTATGTCCTCTACATCAACGGCGGGCACCCACCCTGGACAATCTTATATCCTTTACCTGCTGAGCACAGGCCAAGCCATGTTTGGGGTTAACAACAGCAACCCACCAAAGTGTGGGGACTGCTGCCTGCTCGGATGTGAGTTTAACCTGAAGTTGGAAGGAAGGCGATGATAGAGGGATTTGACAGTGATCCGTGTGTCCCCAGGCTCCCCCAGCTCCTCTGGGAACAGGTCAGGGAGTCAGCCTAGGATTTCTGGAGCAAGTCTGATGCCAGTGATAGTGAATGCTGGTGTTAGGCCAAAGTGCAGGGCATGCTTCGGCTTGTGGTGTGCAGGATTTGGCCTGCATGGAACATGGCAGAGAAACTATTGGTCTTGCTTCCTGTGACTTGGGATCCCCTGTGAGCCTGGCCTGGATCTCAGCAGGCTGCTCTCACACTGACTTAGAGAGTTTGTTTCAGGTCACCAAATCATGGAAAGAAACCCCTTTTTCCCAGGTGTAGCTGGTCAATCCCAACCTCCCAGGGCAGGGGGATGGATTGCCATCCCCACAGGAACTTGCCATGGAGTGCAAAGAGAACAGGCAGCTGCTTAGAGGAGGTATTTCCCACACAATTGGAGCCAGCATTCCCAAACTGTCTTTTACAGGGGAGAACAGACCTGCTTTTGACAGACAGGTGGTGGCAATGAATGCAAGGAGCAGATCTGAGTGAGCAGGGCAGCTTCCACTGTGCACGGAGCGATTTCACGTGTTTCTTAAGTCACAGTGTAACTGTTTTTGTCCTTAACTGGTGGCCACTGACTACCTACAGCACATTGGATCCACACTAGCCAGCCTGAGCCCATGCTCCATTCCCCAGAGGATATACCGGCAAGCCCAGAGCCTCCTGTGCAGCCTCCTGCCCTGGTCTGGCATCTCTGCCAAGAGCGGCATCGAGTACAGCCGGACGATGTGACCGCAGGGTGTGCGGGAAGCCCAGGTGGGTACTGGGGACAGCCCCTTCCCTGCCCCACGGCCACAGTCCTGGAGTGGGAGCGTCCTGCTGCTGTGGAGTGCCTGGGCAGCTCTGTGCTTCTGCCTCCAGCCAGTGGCTGAACTCCTGCTGTGGTTTCATTTGAAGGGAATTCGCATTCTGATCTTGTTTACTTGAGCCCAGAGCCCAACAGAAGGTGGAATGTGCTGTCCCTCTCCTTTTCCCAGATGTTGGAGCAGCGTGCAAGACCCACAGTGACTGAGCCCTCAGTGTCCCAGCCCAGGAACTGGAAGGCCATTTGCTACCAGTGCCATTGCATGTCTCTGACATTCCCAACACTGTGGCTCCCCTGCACGCTTGGAGAGACCCATCATTAACACCTGGTTTCCCTACAACACCTGCCCTCTTTTCTTTCCATAGGATCGTTCCTCCTTCCACGTGACCCACCCGGCTCTGCGCTGGTTCCAGTGATGACAGCTCTTGGCCAGTGACCCAGCCCCTGGGCGGGACTCCCTGTTCCACAGGGACTGACATTTGGCAGACTTGACCCCGGGGCTCAGCCCCGACCCCCCGTGGGCTGGGGCGGGCCTGGGTGTCCGTCACCACTCCGTGTGCATGTTGCACTGTCCCCACCACCTCCCTCGCCTCCGGTTTGCTCCTTCCATACACGTGGGTTCAGCTGCTGCTCCCACTGCTCCCAGAGCAGCTGAGGGAGGGTCAGGAATGTGCACTGAGGAACCACTGAACGGCTGGCAGGGGACAGTCGGAGAGTTGTGCTGGGAAAAGGGGAGCCGGGTGAGGGGAAAGGGGGAGTGAGAATCATGGTTTGGTCCTCCCACATCAGCTGCTCGTGCTTCCTGTGGGTAACTTGCAGGGAGAGTAACTGCCTCGCATGAGAAACTACCCAGCCCCACCAGCCCTCTGGAGTGATGTACAAAGAAGTGTAGAATTCAGGATGCATCGAGTAGAAGGCAGGGAATGAAATTGCTATTTCATAGTGAAATATATATGTATTATAGTGTATAGATCTTTCTGCCTCTGTCCAAGTTGGAATGTAGCAGGGGACGGGAGCTGGGGGTGAAGAGTCTGGTCCAGAGCCCGTCTCCTCCCCTGTATGTGCCCTCCCTTGGCACTGGACTCTTGCAGGCTCTGGAGTGATGGAATGTGTGCACAGATCACAACAGTTTCTCCTTGCTGAGGAAGGTGCCCCAGCTGCTCGCTGTCGTGTTCTGGGCTGTGCTCTGACCCCCTGACGCTGTGCTGGGCAGTGTCCTGGCTGCAGGACCCCTCTGGCTGGGCCAGCTGGGCCTGAGTCTCTGCTCACTGGCAGCTCATGTCCAGCCTGTGTGGAGGCCCCAGAGCTGCAGCCAGGCCATGGGCCCTGCTACATTCCCATGGCAAATCCTCCTTCCCTGGCTGAGGCTCTTCCCCTGCTCAGCACCATGTTCCTCATTCCCCTCCCATCGTGTCACTGGAGCAGAGGGGTCCAAGCTCCATCTGGTGCAGGGCCTGGATGTGCTGGCACTGCCAGCTCTGGCAAGGGCTGGGCAGGACCTGGGGGTGACACTACAGGTCAGGCTGGGTCTTAGAAGACCTTGCAGACTGGATGGCCACAGAAAGCCCTGTCAGTGTCTGAGCCCCTGGGGTGGGAGGCACAGGAGGGGAGGGTGCTGTGTGTGACAAGTGCCACCCTGGAGAGCAGGAAGCCCCAGGGGCTGGCATGGACCTTCTGGGAGCAGCACAAGGCTCTTGTGCGAGGTGCTAGTCCTTCTGGGGCTCAGAGGCATAGCTCAATGACTGACACAAGGTAAAGAAGTGTTTATGAGGAGTCAAGCTGGTGCTGGTGGAAAGGCCATCCTTTGAGACCTCTGAGCCCCAGGATGCCAAGGCTGCCCTCGGAATGGACCTCTTTTACCCCATCTGTCTCTGATTCCTCTCCAGTTCAGCTGCCCACAGTGACCCCTTCCAGCCCCAGTGCCCCTGACGCACCTTCCAGCCTCAGTTCCACAACACCCTCATTTGGGTTACCACTTTTTAGTCTGGGGTATTTTTGCTTATCCACTTTTTACTTAAACACATCTGTTAGTTTAGAGGTTCTTTAGCAGCCCAAGCCCTTGGTTTTCCTCAGCACTTGCTTTCTCTGGACCAGAATGAAGCTCTTTCTCTCCTGAGTGCCTGGCACTGATATGTGTGTGTGTGTGTCCCCTTTCTCCCCTCACACAACCCCACTCCACTTCTGCAGCACTGGAGCACATCCCCAGGGGAGCTGTGACTGGTCTGTGCCCTCCTGCCACCCTGTCCCGAGGCATTAGCCCTGTCCCCACTTTGCAGCCTGTTATTTATTGAAGAGCCTCTCGCTAAATGTCTTCAATTAAACCAAACCTCTTTTCTGAGTTGTCTGTCCCTGCACAGGAATCAACTGACTGCTCTGGCCCTGACCTTGTGCTGGGGGTGCCCACAGACCCTCCTCACTGGGGCTGGAGGAATCCTGGGGGAGCTGCTGCCAGGCAAAGCCAGGGATCAGCTTGGAGCAGGCAGAGAGGGGGGGACAGGGCAGAGGGAGCAGCTCCTCCAGCACTGAGCCTGCCCTTCCAATGGTGGGTGGAGGGTTTTCCTGAGCCCCACAGGGACTGGGGCTCCTTGCTGGCTGCCCCACATTTCAGCCAGGACAAAGGCCCCGCAGGCACAGCCAGTGCCCACGAGGTGCTTCAGCATCTGCAGCAGCACAAATGGCTGCTCCCAGGCTCCTGCCTGGAGCCCTGGGATGCATGAGCCTGTCTGGACTAACCCAAAACCTCAACAGCTGCAGCAGGGCAGCACCTGAGCCACCCCACAGCCCCCCTGCCCCAAGGGGCTGCCAACAGCAGCCTTGTCCTTGTCCTTTGCCTCTGGCCCCATCTTTCACCTCTGGCCCTGGCACAGTCCAGAGAACAAACCCTTGTGGCAGCAGGAGCTGATGGGTGCTGCTCCCTCCCAGCCCTACCTTCCCCCAGCTCTGGGTCCTGCAGGCTCAGCCTCAACCTTCAAGAACAGTCCCAACTGCTAAACTTTCAGCAAAGCCATTTATTCCACTTTTCTGCTCCCACAGATCTCCAGGTAGGGCCCCACATGAGCACCCCTAACGCCCCAGAGGGAATTCATAGCACAGCTGCCCTGTTGCACCAGCACCCCAAGCAGGGGCCTGGTCGCTGACATGGGCAGATGTGCTTGACCAGCAGCCCCGTCACTCTGCTGTGCCCATTGCCAACACAGCCAAGTCAGCACGGGGCATTTAAAAAATTCATATGTTCTGTTTCTTAAAAATGGAAGGGGGACCTGACAGCAGCAGTGTGTCCCTGAAATCAAAGCATAATTCTAAGGCTCTGGCGCCCTCATGTAAGCACATGAACTCTCTGCAGGGGCTGTGCAGGTTGATCTGGGAAGCTCGCTAAGAGTTTAATGGCCATAAAAATAAATCGCTTTTCCCTGCTTCAGACAAACCCAGACCCTCCCGGCTGGGCAGTGTGGTCGCGTGGGCAGCCACTGCAGCCCCAGGTCGGAAAGGAAGAAGTCTCTTGGCTCACCCACTTATACTGGAGCGCACACACAGTGGGGTCACTCCATCGCCTCGGCCAATGGCTGCTCTGCCACCGCGTCGGCCCCCAGCCCCACAGGCTGCTCCAGCGCCTCGGCCCCCGCCAGCTGCTCCGCCAGGGCCTGGCCCTCCAGCCCCGCCAGCTGCTCGGCCCCCGCCTGTGCCATGCCCGGGTGCTCTGCCCGCTCCGCCAGCTCGTTGCCCGCTTTGCCCAGCTCGTTGCCCGCCTTGTGGCCGTGCAGGTGTCCCGCTGCCCCTCCCACGTGGTCGATGGCCGGCTTCTTCGGCTTCTGCGTGGCGGCCACTGCCTCGGCCAGCTTCTCCTCCGGCACCATGTTCAGGATCTTCAGGGCGAACAGCAGCTGGAACTTGGCAGTTCCGACGAAGGAGTTGGCCAGGAAGTTGGGCAGCCCGCCCATGCGGTCCTTCTGGGTGTAGAGGGGGACCCGGACCATGCCCATCACCTGCAAATGCACAGGGCACAGCTCAGCAGGGCCACGGCAGCACCAGCCCCCCTCTCCGCACCCCCCTGTCCCCACACCCTCACCCAGTGCCCGCCAGCCCACAGCCCAGGCCCACCCTGCCCCGCTGCCAGGTCCTGCCTTCCCTCCACACTAGCCCTGCCCTTCCCTGCCCTCAGCCCAGCTCAGCCCCAGTGCTGCCCCTTCCCGAGCTCCCCCAGCCAGGCCCCTGCTCTCCCTGCCCAGCCCCCCGTCCCAGCCCTGGCTCTGTTCCCCCATCCTGCCCCTTTGGGGGGGATCCCGCTGCCCCAGGCCACTATGGGGAGTGTCTCTTCCCCCTCCAGCCCCTTCCCCCTGTGGGGACACCACAGCTGCCCCCATGTCCCCCTCACCCAGGCCACAACCCAGCGCCCACTGTCTCTGCTCACGCGGCTGCCGACACCCACCGAGCGCCCGGAGGGCGCAGGGGGAGGCCCTGGGTCTCTCTCACAATGCCCCGGGGCTTCAGCCACATTCAGCTGCCCGGGAGGAGGAGGAGGAGGAGGAAGATGCCCCCGCACGACCCCCATGCAGGCCGGGGAGGACTCGGGTCACAGCGACATCACCACACCGCGGTCACGGTCCGGTCCAGGGCACTCAGCCCAGGGCGGGGAGGGATCCCCCCCAGCTGCAAACGGCCCTCGGCCACATCCCTTGGCCGAGGGTTACACGGGCTTGTCCCTGCGCGGGCAGACGCCAGGAAAGGCTGGAGCCGGAGCTCCCTGTGCTCTGGAGCCCGCGGCGCGACCCCAGCCGGCTCCTATCGCCGATGCCTCGGGCGGTGCTGGCACCTGCCGCCGGCAGCTCTACCTGCGGTGCATTCCCCGGCCGGGCTGGCCAGGGCCGCCCGGCAGACCCAGGAGGAAGCGGCGCCTTCCCTGGGCTAAGTGAGAGCTCGCACACCCCTCCCGGGTGTCCCACCTCCATCCCGTGGTCTCGGGAATGCACCGCGCTGATCTCGATGGCGTGCAGCTCTTCCAGGGTGAGCTGCCTGGCGTAGAAGTGTGCGACCACGCGATGTGGCCCCTCTGTCAGGTGCGAGCACAGATAGTCAGCTTCCGTCAGGCGCACACAGCCCAAACCCAAGCCCAGCACCCGATTCAGACCGTCCTCCAGGGACCAGTAACGGCGATCCACGAACCCCCCGGGAAAGCCCAGCAGTCCGTCAAACCGCATCTGCATCTGCAATAGAGGCGCAGGGTGTTAATGGGGCACGGCGGGGCCCCCGCCGGGGGGCGAGGAGGGGCCACGGAGCCTCCGGAGGAGCCGGAGGAGCGCAGGGGGCGCCGCGGCCGCTCCGGCGCGGCCCTTCCAGCTCCGGCGCATCCAGGACCGCTCAGCGACGCCGGCCCGGCCGCCGGGGCTCACCGCACTGCCCGCGGGCCCGGGGGCTCCCCCTGGGCTCGGGCCCAGCCTGACGCTACCGCCCTGCTCGGATCTCCCGCGGAGCCGCCCCCTCATCCACCGCCCCCGCACCCGCGGCCCGGCCCAGCCCCGTCCGCCCCGACGCCCTCCCGCCCCGCCCCAGCCCCGGCCCCAGCCCCGGCCCCGGCTCCGCTCCCGCTCCCGGCCCCGGCCCCGGCTCCGCTCCCGCTCCCGGCCCCGGCTCCGCCCGGCCCTCACCAGCACAGCGTAGCGCAGCGGGATGCGGCCGAACAGCATGCCCGGGTTGGGCGCGTACAGCATCGCGTGGCACGAGTGGCTCCAGCCGGGTCCGAGCCGCATGGCCTCGTAGCGCGTGAGCGGCTTGAGCTCGGGCACGCCGGGCACGCCGAGCGTGGGCAGCGGCGGCAGCGCGCCCATGGGGGGCAGGGGGCCCATGGCCGCCATCGTCCCCACGGCCGCCATCGCCTCGCGCCACCGCCACCCGCTCCGCGCACGCGCTGCGCCCACGGCACCGCGGGGGGCGGGACCGCCGCTCGCGCGCGGCCAATGGCGCCGCGCCGCGCGCCGCAGGGCCAATGGGCGCCCGGCGGGGCCCGCCAATCGCCGCGCGCGCCCGGGGCGGGGCGGGCGGCGCGCGGGCACCGGGCTGCGCGCGCCGAGCGCCACAGAGAGCCAATCGCAGCCCAGAGCGGGGGGGACGGGACGGGGCGGCGAAGGGCACGACGGGAAGGTGGCGGGGGACGGAACGGAGGACCCCGCCCACAGCGCCTTGGCCCCGCCCCAAGACATGGACACGCCCCTCAGCGGAAAGGTCCCGCCCTGATGCTCCCGGACCCGCCCCCTCAACCACTGGCCCCGCCCCTCGGTCCTTGGCCCCGCCTCCGCAGCCCCCGCTCCCTCCCGGTCCCCCCTGAGCCCCCCACTCCCCCCGGTTCCCCGCCCCTGTCCCCTCCCTGTCCCCCCGGTGCACTCGGACTCTGGCGGGGCTGCTCCACGTGTTTATTCCTACAAACATAGACGGGGAGGTGGGAGGGACGCGCCCCGGGCCCCCCCGCAGAAGCAGAACAAGGCACACGGCGTGGGCAGCGCCGGGCTCTGCGGGACGGGCCGGGGGTGACCCCCGCGGAACCCCCTCCCCGCGGAGCCCCGCGGCCCGGCACGGCGGGGAGGCCACGGCTCTGTACAGGGGCAGTGACAGCAAAGGGCTGTGCTCGGTGTGTACAAAATATACATCGGTAGTGTCCGTCCTTCATCTGCCCATCGGAACCCAAACCCCCGCCCGGCCCCACGGACACCCCCCACGGGAAACACGGCCCAGCCCCGACCCACCGCCAGGGAACATGCACGGGCTGTGCCGGCACCGTGTCCGGAGGGGCGCGGGCAGGGCCGGGGGGCTCCGGCAGGGCCCGGCCCCGCTCACGGGAGGCTCTGCTCGTCCTCCAGGTGCAGATGGGTCTGCTCGAAGAGAAGGGGCTGCGTGGGGCTGCCGGTGCCGCGGACGGGGAGCGTCTTGGTGTAGTCGGATGAACCTGGGAGAGGAGAAGGGGGTTCAGCGTCGGAAACGGGAGCCCTGGGGGCAGAGGAAGGGCCTGGCAGGGGGATCGGCCAAACCCTCCTGCCCTGGCTGGCCAAGGGAGACAGGGCTGGAGCCAAGTGCTCCATCTCCTCCGATGCAGGTTCAGCATCAGGGGTGGGACACAGGACACTAAGGGGACAACACACCCTCTGTCACCAGCCTGGAGACACCAGCAGGGTGTTCACGGTGCCAACGAGGCAGCAGAAGCCAGTGGGAAGGGCAGGGGTTTCTGCTGCCCTGCTTGGGGTCCTGGCACGCAGGGACAGCAGGGATGCTGGTGCCAGGCATGGGAATGGACCCAGGACAGAGCCTGGCTGGTTTGCTGCCCCTTCCTTCCCTGCTCCATGGCCAGGACCA